GTACATGTTTGACTCCACAGGACTTTGACCTACTGGAGTTTAAGGAGAAGAGGTGTTTTAAGTAGTTGTTACGTTTCTGCCTTTAGATGACTGAGTGGATGATAACACATCTCAAGAAGAAATATCAAAGGAGGTGAAAGTTGGTAAGGATGTCACTGAGTTTACTTCTTACTATGTTTGAAGTGCATAGCCCGAAATTCCAAAACTTGGGTCAGTAAGGCAGGCAAAAAGATTGAGCTAGAAATACATATATGGGAGTCGTCAGCATGTAGGTGGAGGTTGAAATTGGAAAAATGGATGAAGCTGCTCTAGAAAAGCATGAAGCATGATCAAGATTAGAGAAACGCAACCTCATGGGACATCAGTGTTTTAGGAGTTAGGTGGGGAAAAGGAGACAGAAAAACCATTAGACCAGAAAGGAAAGGAACTAGACAGAATAAAAAGTTATGTTCAAAAAGTTGAACTGGGCTTCCCTGGTGGCGCAGTGGTTGAGAGTCCGCCTGCCGATGCAGGGGACACGGGTTCGTGCCCTGGTCCGGGAAGATCCCACATGCCGCGGAGCGGCTGGGCCCGTGAGCCATGGCCGCTGAGCCTGTGCGTCCAGAGCCTGTGCTCCGCAACGGGAGAGGCCACAGCAGTGAGAGGCCGGCGTACGACAAAAAAAAAAAAAAAAATTGTCCTTCCCACCTCATCTCCCCTGACTGCCATGCTCTGTCCTAACCACATCTTCTGAGTCATACAGAACAGAGGATATACCCTACTTGACTGGATTCTGAATTTAAGATTCTCCTAATTGTGAATGTTGCTTCATGATAGAGATATTTTTTTCAGAAAAAAAAAAAAAAAGCAAAAATGCTTATTTATTCTCGATCAGAAGACGAAGATCTGTAACTACCGCTCTAAAGTAGAAATGAATTTTCAGTAGTCCTTAGAAGTGGGAATTTCTTGAAATGAAGGATGTGGCAAAGTTGGGAACATCCTTCAGAGTGCATCTTTTATCTTCCTCCTCAGAAAACTGAAGAACTCAGTAGCTGTCCCTTCCACATGAGAGTGATACCGAACCATAGTTTCCAAACTGTTTCTCAGCATCTGAGGGTTCTGTGGGGGTGTCTTATGGTTTTTTATTTTTCAACAAGAGTTGCTCCACTTTTATCTGTTACATATTGGTGCTCCATAAACATTTACTATTACAGAGCATGTTCATTTGATTTAAAAAAAAAAAAAAGAAAAACTTTTGAAAAACATTTATCTAAACAAAAAAAATACAATGTATTTAAATATTTAACTTACAATATGGTAAATAAAATATATTTGAAATAGGTAATGCATTTTTATTTCAGAACTATTCTCTATTATTGGAATAATATTAGAATCCAAGTATACATAAACAATTTTTTTCTTTTTAAAATCTCTACCCTACAGTCTAGGTTATTTATTATAGCTTAACATCCATTTAGTGGCTGCTTTTCAGCTTTGAGGTATATACTAAGCCCTAAACTGAAATTGGTGTAATATGATTTGAGTCCTTTGTTGTGCCTAATTAAGAGCCTTCTCTAAACCAGGCACTGAGCTGAGCATGGGGAGATTAAAGGTGAGTCTGAGAACTTCACAATGTCACAGTCTGACAGGAGAGTCAGGTCAGTCCATTACCAGCATTTACAGCATATCCATTAGAGCAGCAGCACAGAGAGGACCATCTACTCAAAAGGGAGTTGGTGGCATGGTGTGGGGGGCAGGGAATAGAGGCTGATGCAGGATGAATAACCAGCATTGATTGAGCCTCTGTTCTGAGCCAGATACAGTGCAATGCTCTAGGTTAGACCATTTCTCTCTGGAGCCTGCTATCTAACTGGGGAGATGAAGTTAAACAATCAAAATTTCAAATATATACAGATTTAAAGAAATTCTATGAAGAAAAGGAATAAGAGAATAACAGGAGTAAACTCTTTTAGGCTCACTACAAGAAACTGGCATTTACACTTAAAGAACAGGATAGAATGCTAATTATAGCTACAATGGCAACAGTATTACAATATACAGATGTATCAAATTAACACGTACACCTTAAATTTACACAATGTTATATGTCAGATATACTTGAATTAAAAATAAGTTAAAAAAAATAAGTTCAAAGAATGCGGAGTCAAATGAATGAAGAGAAAGTGAAAGAGTGCTTTTTTTTTTTTTTTTTTTGCGGTACGCGGGCCTCTCACTGTTGCGGCCTCTCCCGTTGCGGAGCACAGGCTCCGGACGCGCAGGCTCAGCGGCCATGGCTCACGGGCCTAGTCGCTCCGCGGCACGTGGGATCTTCCCGGCCCGGGGCACGAACCCGTGTTCCCTGCATCGGCAGGCGGACTCTCAACCACTGCTCCACCAAGGAAGCCTGATCAAGCCCATTTACAATAAATGCAGAGGATAGAAGACTAGCTTAAAGTGGAAGTACAAATGAAATTAGCAAAACTTAGATATAAAACTACAGGAAATTCACACAATTCTTTAAGCAATAACAAGAACAAAAACAAAATTTGTGAGGAAAATAAAAGATGGAGGGAGAATTTACAGATTAAAGAAAATTTAAGGTGGGAATTCCCGGGCGGTCCAGTGATTAGGACTCCGTGACTAGCGCCTGGGTTTGGATCCCTGGTCTGCTCAGGGAACTAATATCCCATGTGCAGTGTGGCCAAAAAAAAAGGAAAAGAAAATTTAAGGCACGTATCCACTTTTTAAAAAAATTTTTTATTGGAGTATAGTTGATTTAAAATGTTGTGTTAGTTTCTGTTCTACAGCAAAGTGAATCAGTTTATACATATATATATTCACTCGTTTTTGTTTTGTGTTTTTGGCCACGCTGCGCAGCTTTTGGGATCTTAGTTCCACCACCAGGAATTGAATTCGTGTCCCCTGCAGTGGAAGTGCAGAGTCCTAACTACGGGACTGCCAGGGAATTCCCATATCCACTGTTTTTTAGATTCTTTTCCCATATAGGTCATTACAGAGTTTTGAGAAACATGCCCTGTGCTATACGGTAGGTCCTTATCTATTTTATATTAAGGCACATATCTAATCATGGTGTGTAGCCCTTATCTGGATCCTGATTCCAACAGATTGTTAAATAAGAAAATAACAGTATGAGATAATTGCATATTTAAATACTGCTGGATGTTTAAACAGACTGAATAGTGCAATAATATTAAAAAATTATTTTAAATTATTTTTAGATATGAAAAAGATATTGTAACTATAGTTGGAAAAAGTCTTTTTTTCCCCCAAATTTATGAATGAAAGCTATGAAATCTGGTATTTCTTTTAAAATAACCCAAGAGAGGGGGAATAGGTGGTGGTTTAGATGAAAACAGATTGGCTGGGAGTCAATAGTTGTTCAAAGCTGGATGATGGATCCATGAGGGCTGGTGAGATTACTGTCTTCTTTTATTATTTTTTTCTTTTTTTTTCAGCTTTATTGAGGTATAATTGACAAATAAAATTCTAAGATGTTTAAAGTGTACATTGTGATGATTTGATATAGGTATACACTGTGAACTGTCTGCTTTTATATGTTTGAACTTTCCCATAATATAATATTTTCAAAAAGCAGAGGGAAAAACCTAAGAAAATAAATAAGATAATTATATTGTAATAAACGTTAAGAAAAGAAATATGGTAATGAATGGTCTTCCCACTGGAAGTCCCATCCTAACCTAAGGCACTGGAATCAATCTGTTCAGGTTACCAGGTCAACTCCCTTCTAAATCATCCAGAAAAAGCCTGTAAGTAAAGGCCACACCCAAGTGGGTAGATGGAGTGTTTTCTTGGCTGAATCTCTATGGGCCAATTCAGTTTCCATCTTGGAAGGGAGGAGCCAGGATTCCAAGCATTATCTGCCTAATCCAAAACCATTTGGTCACACCCTGATCTAGCCAATGTTTACAGACTTTTAGGTGCATAAGAACAACCCTGAGGGCTGGCTGAAGCACAGATTTCTGGGTCCTGCCCTTAAGGATCTGATTCTGAAGGTCTGGGGTGGAGTTTCATAGTTTAATTTTCCAACCAGCTCTTCATCAAACTGAGGCAGAGCCCTTGCACTTTGAATATAATATAATATTTAAGTTAAACTGATCCTGGCTCCCTGGGTCCTGAGGCTGATGGACCAGACCATTTACCTAGGGGAAGAGAAAGCCCATGTGAGACCAACGAATGTCAGAGTTGCCATACTGTTTGTGAATATTTTCCTTTAGAAACTCTGGCTCCTTAGAGTGACCTATAAAAACATCTGTGACTTTTCCAGCCTCCTGTCTCATCACATCCTGCCCCCAACATTATCCTCCAGCAATTCCCAAGTTTTTGCAGTTCCTTCTCCTGCATTCATTAGTACATCACTTGCCTTAGCATTATGGCTTCTGCTGTTCATATTCTGAATAGCCAAACCTTTCCCTTCTACTCAGCTCGCCATTATTGCAGGCTTAAAATCTGTGTTTAGATCTAGATCCAGGAGAGATCATGTTATCCAGTCCCTACAGTCTAAATCTAATCTCCCAGTGAGTGACACACCCATGGGCATAAATCAGTTATAAAATACCTTTGAACTTCTATTCTCTCCACAAAGCATCATTCAATCCATCACCAATATTGTTTACAAAGATTGTTTATTTGTTTGTAACTTGTCAACAAGTGTTTGTCATTTTCAAGTTTCACCTAAGTCTCACCTTAAAGGAATAAAACCCAAAAATTTTTTAAAAAATCAGGAGTGATATTAATTACCCAATAACTTAACTCTTGCCTAATAGACAAGCCTGGGTATAAAACTGATGAAATTATCACACTGTCAAATAACAAGGGAGGGGGAAAAAGAGGAGGAAGGAAAACAGCTCTTCTGGAAAACAGGAAGTAGGAGACATTTGCTTATAAAAGGAGAAATTGGACTAGAAACCTCAGGTTAAGAGGATTAAATTGCAGATATCCTTAATATTGCCGGCTCTGCGTTTCTCTGAGAGGTCCTTGGAATGGCACACCCAAATTATGAGAAGGTAAGTTTGCTTTGAATTTCATTTATTTTCCCACAGATTCACTTTTTTTTTTTTTTTTTTTGCGGTACGAGGGCCTCTCGCTGTTGTGGCCTCTCCCGTTGCGGAGCACAGGCTCCGGACGCGCAGGCTCAGCGGCCGTGGCTCACGGGCCCAGCCGCTCTGGGGCATGTGTGATCTTCGCGGACCGGGGCACGAACCCGTGTCCCCTGCATCGGCAGGCGGACTCTCAACCACTGCGCCACCAGGGAAGCCCCAGATTCACTTTTTAAAGCCTTCCTAAACTCACTTATATTTCCCTCTTTCTGGATGTAAGAAATCTCTATCTGAGAATCTCCCCCCTTTGCAAACGAATTATTACTTTTCTTTCATGTGATTGCGGTGTACAACTTGGGTGAAAGTGAAAAAGGAGAAACTAAATATTCCTGTTCCTAGTTCAAAGTAAGATATTTATTTTGTAGAAAGACATGTTGTAGCTGGGCAAGATAAAACAGTAAAGAAATGGAGAGCTGCCGTAAAAAGAAAGTGAAAAGGGTAACGTGGATAAGGTCAGAAAGTGACGTGACTAGTAGGTTTCTTTCCCCCAGGAGTAAGAAGCAAACCTACTCCCAATGGCCTTGGTACCAAAGGGTTTCCTGACTAGGCTTGGGTAGTCCTGGACTAGAGGAAAATATAATAAATTGAGTAGGTTTCATAGGTATTTGCAGGGGCCACTATACCGGGCTAGAGAACTGAATTGGCCAATATGAAGTATATGATTATGGGCAAGTCATATAGCTGCTTACTTCTTGAGTGGAGTGATACTCTCCCAATAATGCCCTTTTTTTTTCAAGCTGACCAGTGAAATGTTTCCTGGAATGCTTTGAAAAAGTGGTGTACAAATGCAAAATCCCTTTTGCTAGCTGAAGTGCAGAGCAAGGGGAAGTCTTTGAAGAGATTTAAACCGGGTGCGGAGGGGCGGAGGGGTGGGCGGGCGGGGGG